TTAACCACGCATGGGCACGAAGCCAGTTTCGACTTCGGCTGCGCCTTTCCGAAGGTGTAGCTTTCCTTCAGTCACGCCGGACTCGACTCCGGCTTTGAGCTTTTTTCCACGGCTGACTTCGGCTTCGGCTACATACAATTTTTCGTCTTTATGTCATTTTTAAGTGTTAGGTACTAGTCGAAGTAGTCGCTATTAGCCCAACTAGTCACTGCTAGTCGAACAATCTGCGAATGATGGCTCCAGCTTCGACATGTTGCGATCTTAAACCACTGGCTCTGGCTTTGTCGTGACATGCCTGCCGTAATTGCCATCTTGCTTCACAAAAGCAATCCTGTTTCCTTTGGCCCCTGTGTATCACGCGATCAGGGGCGCAGTTTCCCAGAATTAGTTTGGGAGAGGGGGGGGGGGGACGGAGCGGTGAAAAATGACTCAAACTGCCCAAAAAGACACCAACAAAGGGGTTTTTCATGGGGTCAGCCCACAATCTTCTCAAAGTTGGGGGGGGGGGGAGGATGCCCCAAGTGAATAGGAAACCGCAGCCCCGCACGCGGAGGTTACAGCTGCGACCGCTATATGAGTTCTATAGGGAGTGCAACACGAGCGTGATTGAAAGCCAAAAACCAGCTCGTCATTCTCAGAAGTCGGCACCACCTAACATCTGACAACGGCCGGAGAAGTGATTATCTGAAGCGCTGTGTTTATGCTGACACACGAGACAGGACCGCGGATCCGAACAAACGTGTTCCGTTTGGTACATAACCACCTCGTAATCATTGCCCCGCGAGACCCCAATGATAGTCCAATATCTTATTCAGGTTTGGCATACGCGGAGATGGTTTTCGGTCTGCAGAGCAGCTTCTCATCCTACATTCGGCTTCGCCCTCGGTAGCTGACTTAGCTGATGAGTTCGTCTTTTGACCCCGGTGTTTCGTAAGCTGGAGCCGCGGACGTCATCTTCGGCCACGCGTGGACAAAGTTCGAAGTCAGTGGCTGTGTATTCGACTTTAGTTTTTGTTTCACAGCGCAATCAGGTTTGGTGCTTACTTGGTGGGATGACAAATACAAAGCGTAGGTATTCGATCTGGGCCATATTTGTCTGTTGCCGCGTTTTGCGATGCCATTTTGCACCTGTCCGTTGTCCGTATCTTGTTTCTCCACATATAAGATAGCAATGTGGTTCTTCCAGTGTTGTCGGTCTCATAGCGGATAAAAACGCATTTTTTGCTTTTAGGAATGTCGTAGTACAGGTCTTTTTGCTATAAATTATATTAACAAGAATCATGTGTTCAGTTCGGACGCACCGTTTTTTATATCACTTTAAGAAGTGACGCGAAATGCTGCTGGTTGTGCTTCTTTTGCGGTCGTGCCGTTACACGACTGTAATTTCCAGATTTGGAAGGATGGGTGGCGAAATATATGTCTACACAGATCCTCAATCCTCTTCACCATTTAAAACTGAACGTTTGAAAAATGGATAATAGGCGCGTTGAAATTGTTTAAAATGGGCAGCCAATATGTCTGGTCCAGACGCTACGGGCAGCAAGTGGATTGGATGCAGGCAAGCCTAGCTAGCGGGGCCGATGGCCACTTCTCGGGAGCGTGACCGGCTATCGGCTCGCGCCGGGATGTGGCGGCGCGCGTCGCAGCAACGCGCCGCTGCAGGCGCCCGCTCGGCGGCGGCGGCGGCGGCGGCGCGACGGTTATCGCGCGCCCCGCCGCCGCCGCTGCTCCAGCGTAGGCCCGGCCTTTGCCGTCAGTCGACAGTCGAGAGGAGCCGCCGGCACTTGTCATCTCGTCGACCGGGTCACTCGTCATGGCGTGGTCTGGCATCGATCAGGAGGACGCGAGCAAGACCGGCAAGGACGCCACATCGTCCACCAACGCCTCCCGCAAGTCCATTTCGTGCCTTCTTGCTCGGGCGATGTCTCGATGGGGCTCCCGATCACGGTGCTTTGGGTCGTTGAGTGCTGTGGTTGCGTATAGCTAGCATGTCACGGCCATTGTGTCGGAGTTTATTCCGGCCGGGCTGTGCATATTAAATGTCACGGCGATCACGCAGGTCATACTTACACCGATCTTAAATAATAAAAAAACAAGGCCTGACTGGTGGTTGCTGCGAAGTCACTGCCACAGATTGGAAGGAGATTTTCTGCTACGTTTGGTCGTGCTCCCTCTTGACGCTGGTGTGTCGACCACGATAAGAGTGGCCCCAAGTGACCTGTGACCTGAGTGACCTGTGCCGCGTTATTTATTTGGCTTGGTGCAAATTCTCGGTGTGCATTCTCGCCATGGATCTGATTTGCCGGGCATGTCTCATTGGGGTGGCGGGGAGGGAGGGGGGGGGGGGGGACGAGAACCCCATTGTTTAACCCTCGCGCCCTGATTTACCGTTTTTCGTAAGCGCATTGATAGGTGGAGCGGAGACGGGGGGGGGGGCTACGATCCACCCTGCCGTTTCCAAACTAAGAAAGAGCCTAACTGAGCCTAGCCAAGAAATGATTGGTCAATACTACGTCAGTGATTGACTCCACTATGTCAGGTCAAATGTCAATTGTCATGAAAGAGCGAGCTATTTTAGCTTGATATGTTCATATGTACAAAAAACACGGTAGAAGCGACACGAAACAAGCTGTTGCACCCTCCCGTCCCCGTCCCTCCTTGATATCAGGGCGAGGGCTAATGCATGAATAAAACTAAGGGTAAGCAACCCATTCGGCCCCTTGGATATCTTGAAAGCTTTATGGCCGATATCGGCAACGAAACGGCGTTCTATGCATTCCGACAATGTGTACATTCCAATAAAGGAAGCCTCGGGACGGTCTGAAAGAGGTAACAGGGACCAAACAAGATATCAGGGGTGTTTATGATCCAACGCGAGTGGCACGTTTATCAGGCGATTTTTACAGAACGAATGCGTAACAATAATTAATTATTGAAGTAGTGCTAGACTGTGTTTTTTTAATTCGAAGTTCATTAACATGTTCAGGAGACAAACAGTGAGGATAAAAATCCTCAAAACAGGCGTTAATTGAACTGATGCCGGAAGAAACGGTCGTGCGTTGCTATGGCATGAGAAAAGAACACATATGCCCGAATCGTTGTGGCAGACGCTGCCAGGGGTGATAATGAGTCTGAAAAGTAAAAGATTTCCACTGTCGGCCATAATGCTGATGTCAGCTCGTAATTGTTTACTGTAATAATCTTGCCTCCCCCCCCCCCCTTGTTTGTCGCTCTTGTCGCCGCTTTTGGTGCCCGTCTCCAGTTTGGCGTGTTGCCTTCGACATGCAGTTATTTTTTTACGTGATGTTACTGGCACAGGAGCAAAATGGTACGTAACATGGCGTTTTAATGTTTGATGTGTCAAATTAAACAAGTCCATTCGCTTCCATCACTTTGGGGCGATGACGACAAGAAGTCTTCCCTTCGAAGCGCTTCACGCGGGGATCTTTTTTCGTGCTTTATCCATTCACCGTACTTGTCAAGGTTATACACCTTACCTCTCTACACCCCTTCTGCTCCACATGAACACGCATTTGTCACTGTTTATGTGAATTGGTTGTGTAATAATGAACAGAAAATGCAAAGCTTTAGATCTAAGTACCAAGGAGTATCCCTTACCTAGCTTCATTGATGGCCTGCAAAGCTCTTCCGCCTGTGAGAAAGCTCCCCTTTTTTAGCCCCGCGCCTACCGCTGTCATTTTACTTTTGGTGTACGACAACGGTGACTCTTATGGTGACACCTTCAGTGAACCAGAAACGGCATGATCTCACCAGAAAAGCGTAGAACATGATAAACGGCGTGTGTTAGACGGGTTTTGTCAAGAAATGTCATAATGTCAAGAAGTTTTCATAATGTCGCGGAAGAAAAGCCTCAACCTTGTTGTGTCATGCGGTGTGTGATGTCATATTCAGCCAACCACCAGCCGGCAGCAGCAGTTAACGGCCAGGCTGTTGGCCGCTTGTGCTGTCATTCCTGGTCATCTGACGGGTGTCAAGAGTCCGGTATGAACGTCGGGTAGAGAAATTGCATCCAAGATCAAGAACTGGGAATGTTGAACTCAAGGATATCAATATCCATTAACGTGCTTAGTGCCCGCCTTCTAGTCTCAAAATTATGTACAGAGATAAAGTATTTCGGTCAAAGATTGCGGGTGTACACGGTCAAACTGTTGAACAAGTGTACTTTATGCTGATTTTGAAATGCACTTAAAAGAGGGCGTGCTGCTTTAAGTGTTATCAACGGGTTTTGTGAAGTTCTATGCCCTTCTGACCGGTGTTTCTATTCGACACCGCCTGCACCCGACCGGGTACTCCAAGCATCAGCTGAACCTGATCGTCGCTGACACCGGGCGTTCCAGGCCGGCGCGTCCGCCGAGTCCTACTCGATGGGACAGGTCCACGCAGAGCTGCTGTCCGCGCGGCCGGCCGTGCTGCTGCCCCTCGTGACCCGTCTGACGCGTCTCACGCCGCCCGCCCGTTTGCAGTGTCAGGCGGCCAGCCGTGCCGCTGCCCCTCGTTCACCCCGTCTGACGCGTCTCACGCCGTCCGCCCGTTTGCAGTGTCAGGCGGCCAGCCGTGCTGCTGCCCCTCGTCACCCGTCTGACGCGTCTCACGCCGTCCGCCCGTTTGCAGTGTCAGGCGGCCAGCCGTGCCTGCTGCCCCTCGTCACCCGTCTGACGCGTCTCACGCCGTCCGCTCCGTTTGCAGCGTCGAGCGGCCGGCCGTGCTGCTGCCCCTCGTCACCCGCCTGACGCGTCATCACGCCGCCCGCCCGTTTGCAGTGTCAGGCGGCCAGCCGTGCCGCTGCCCCTCGTCACCCGTCTGACGCGTCTCACGCCGTCCGCCCGTTGCAGCGTCGAGCGGCCAGCCGTGCTGCTGCCCCTCGTCACCCGTCTGACGCGTCTCACGCCGTCCGCCCGTTTGCAGTGTCAGGCGGCCGGCCGTGCTGCTGCCCCCTTGTTACCCGTCTGACGCCTCTCACGCCGCCCGCCCGTTTGCAGTGTCGAGCGGCCGGCGTGCCGACTACGACGCGGCGCTCTCGGCCATAGGGTTCGGCCGCTTCCACTGGTGGCTGCTAATCACCATCGGCTGGGCGAACGCGGCAGACGCCGTCGAGCTGCTGTGCGTCTCCTCCCTGCTGCCGGCCGCTGAATGTGACCTGCACATGACGCCCGAGCAGAAGGGCTACCTCTCGTCGTTCGGCGTTCGGTTGGTGAGAGGCACGGCCGAGTGGTGCTGGCTTGGGTTCATGCCGGTTCGTTGTATTGCCCTCTGCCTGTGTGTCATGACTCGAAGACTTGAATCATTTGAAATGAATGTCACGTCAGCAGGGACAGCAGCAGGATTTTCCACACTGGAAGATATTGAGGCAGCATGAAGCGTGACGAAATAGGCTCATTTGTAACTCATCGTATGGTTTTACGTGCAAAAGACCGCTCTAGACAACACAGCTTTGCTATTTAGTAAATATGCTCCTCAATACGTTATCGTTTGGTTTCGTCATGGAATGTTTACATGACTTCGGTGGCTGTCAAACTAGTCGTGGGGTAAGCTTGCTTTACGGTGCTGGAGCAGGTTTTTTGAATGTCAAAAAGTGGTAGCCCTAGTGGGGAATGTATCCTGTGCAAAAAGAACATGCTCTGTTATATACCGACACTTTTATATAAAGCACTCGGTGCATAGCATGATAGCACTAGCTGTATGCTTTATTCTATTATGTAGTCAGGATAGTTCTCATTGAGATTGAAGGGAGTGTCGCATCTTTAGCGCACTCCAGTGAAACACCAGGACTAGTTGGTGTAACAATAGCGATCAATAGTGTTACTGCGGCACTGTCAAGACATAAAAAAGGCATCGTGTTTCATTATTTTCGAGTCCAAATTATGCTGTCAGCGCTTTGTAACAACAGTACGCTTCTCTGCAGTTGCAACCTCGTTGTCATGACAATGACCGTGCGTACCTCTACTGGTTGTGAATAAAAGAACGTCTGCGATTGGCTCAGCGGGAGGGGCCCGTTACCGAGAAGTTGGATTGCGGAAGTTCGGACCAGTGCGTCACATGAATCATGCGATACTCACATTCCCCAAGCTAAAGTGCACCTCGAAAAGAGCCTCTTTGATAAACGTCATACGGGTGAAATCAGGGTCATGGTATAACGTTTCGTTGAATTCGCAAGATCATAGCTTCATACTCGCATATATTTTGTCTAAACAAAGTGTTTGAAACTTGCGTAACTTTTTTACACAAACATTTTGAAACATTGGTGCGCTGTAAACATTATAGAGCATAGGCGTTGAAAAAGGAAGGCAAATGAAATGCATTGCTTTTAAAGTTGCGAGCAGGGAATCAAAGAAAATATCTCCCGCATGGTCCGCTGTTTAAATAGAAATTCTGATCTATTCAGAAATATTTCGAGAAAACTGGTATCACTGATCGAATCATAACTGTCTGACGTAAGATAAAGTGAAAAGTACAAGAACGTGGGATGTAGTTCACAGTTCTGCCCTTCTAAGGGCCTAAGCCATGCTGGTTTCTGAGCTACACGCCCACGAAGATGTGCTGACTTTTTCAGGAATACGATACAAGGTCCACCCAGTGATCCATGGCGCCATAATAGCGTCATTCAGATCGTGCGATTTCATTGGCCATGCGGCGATCAATGTCAGGATAATTATCATTATTGAGTCGTTCATATCTTAAGATATTGGTAAAAGAATCCCCAGCAACATTTTGCCAGCTTAGAATGGTGGGCTGCAAACATAACATTGCTGGGTGAAAAAGTTGTCGCGCGGGTAGTGTTCGTGGCCTTTTTCGCGCGGTCGTCCTTAATGTAGATAACGGGTCCACTTCGGCTCCAAAATGCGTAGTAGAACTAATACAGAACCGGAAATATTCGCCGCGGCAGTTTTAAACCGGGCTCTGTGCTGAAGATATGATAACCCCGGCACTCAACACACCGTCTCACTAGTATAATGTGGGTTCAACGAGCTCACTTTACCTCGCGCCCTTATCAGATCGCTTCAAAGGACCAAAGATTGTCAAGGACAATCTTGCCAAGCAGCTCCACGACTCTCAGCCGCTCTGTAACCTGTCTGATACTATCAAGCCCCACCTACCGGATGGTTTTCTTTGCCGAACTGTACACGAACGCTAGTGATGGAAGGCGACCTACCCCCGTGCGTACGTTGCATCACCGCCTGTGACCAGTATGACGTCAGCGCTCCACCCACACTGGCTTCTAAGGAACGATGATTGGTGTGCTTGGTTGGTTATTTATTGCGCTTTTGTGAGCATTTTACGCGTTGTGGTCAACAGGTTCGCTCAAAAGGCAATAGTCTGTGAATCGTCATCTCGGTAAGTACTTTGGTCAACAGGATATTGTCTCTTACTGGATTGGCTCCTTCGGCAAAGGGGCAACCAAAAACCTTCGTTTCGGAAGATCATTATCTTGTTTCAAGGGGCACTCGATCCATGGACGCCATAAATTGTCCGGAGCCTTCACTGTAGATGAAGTTGAAATTCCAGGGCACCATAATTGGCCGGAAAATCTTGATTTTCCCTACGAACCAAATTTTAAGGTCACCACCATCGGGGGTGTACATAGGCGAAGGGGAGGGGGCACGGAGCACGTAACCTTCCCCCTTAGGTCCTTAGGTCACGAGGGGCCCTTTGGTTTGCTTGGGGTCTATCAATTAAGAGCCCGATTTGAGGGCCCGAAAAGCAGGCCGAAGATCATATTAATGGACCCAAGCCCGAAAACCGGACTCAAATGGCAGTCAGAAGGCACCTTGCACCGATCAGAGCTCACTGGGACAGCGAGAGTCTCTGTGTCAGTCAGCTGACTGAGACCACCAATACCGGACAGTGGGCTTCGCACCGGTCTGGGCCGGAGGGGCCATTTCCCATGCGGTGGCAAAACTGGAGCCTGTAATTACCAGTCCGAGGGCCTCTTGCACCGGCCGGGCCCCTGAAACAGCGAAGGGCCCCTGTACTGGTCATGGACCCGGAGCCTAACAGGGTACCCTGAATCGCAGTGGTCTCCAGGTCGGCCAGAGCACATTGGCTGAACAGGGACAGGGACGGGGGCCCGGATGTCAAAGGATCTCTTGTGTTGGTCTTATGTCCATTGACATCGAAAGGATATGTGAGAAATGACGAATGCAAGAGGTTCACATCCACATAAGGCCGTGGAAAGGCCCTGTGACAGCCACGAGGCTCCAGTACCGAACGAGGGCTCTCCCGCATTATTTCAACCAGTGACTGATAAGTCTGATTGATGTTTCGGTGGACTTATAACGCTCCCTGTGCTGGTAAGGGATCCTCTTGCATCTGTGAGTGCCCCAGCGTCGATTCGATGCTGAGATGTCCCGTTTAGAGGGCTGCCGCATGAGGAAGGGGACCGGTGTGTGATGTGCCCTCTAAGGACCTACATATCGACCAGGGGAACCCTGTCCTCGTATGATCAGAATGGCAGCCGCTAGGGACTGTGGCACTCCAAAAATCGACCAACGTTACCCTTGCATTCTACCCTCTCAGACCAACTGACCCGCACATGCGCCCGGCCGCGCCTGCGCCCGGCCGGCGCCGCTGACCGCACTTGAACCGCGCACCGAGCGGCGGCTGTCAGCCCCGTGACTTCACGCCCACAGCAGCCGACGCACAACGCTGACAGGAAAGCTGGGCTGCTGGAACGGCGACGCATAACACACTGCAGGGATCCGGGCTGGAACGGAACGCCCCTTCAGCTTTACCAGGTGACCATCGTGTGTTGCCTGTGCAGCGCAAAGTCGATTCTTTGGACGGAATTAGCAGTCACCACCAACATGACCAAGTAGAGATTGCACCAACACGTCAGGTTGGTGGCGCTGCACGTGCTACTCCGTCCCAAGTATCAATCTGCATATCGGGCAGGGGGACCTGCGGCCCGACGACAACGACAACGACCTTCTTCTTCAAGTGATCAGTTGTTTTCTAAAGCGTTCGAAAATGCCACTTTCCGATGCGTGGTCGTTTTCGCTCGCTAGTTGACCGCCGCCACTGGGCATTAGCTGCGGGACCGATGCCGCGCGGCCCGTGGAGGCTGCAAAGCCGGGTATCGGCGCGTCTCCCAGACGGCAAGCGCAGGCGTTTTGCTGATGACATCCACAAAGGGTGGGCTTGCACGGGCGAAGAGGACGGAACACATCAGTGCAAATCGTTGACACTGTTTCAGTTTTGTTCAACGCTATCGTTCGATGCCCGAACCCCCTCCCTATCTGTGTGATGGCCGCGAAATTCCGGCAACTGCCCTGACTATCGCTTTATGGGAAGGGCCAGATGCATGCTTGATTGTGTTGCCTGTTACGTCTGGCTTCCCGGTTTTGGCGAATAAGTTCAGCATAAAGTTATGTATGTTGGATATTGTTGGCCCGCTATCTGCGCGAGGATTTCCTTGTCGCCAATAGCGCTGTCGCGGACGCCTCCAGATGTCCGAGGAGCCATTCCTCCATACCATTTGGGTGTTGCCATTGACCACGATGGTAGTGTGATTGGATTGTTGCACGCCAGCGTCAAATGCGTGCGGTTATTTCAGATGGGTGGGCCCGGGTAAGTTCCATTAACGGAAGCCGTCGGCGGCTGTCGTGCCGTGGATCAGCATCAGTAGCACGGCCGGTTTCTGGTGACGGCTGTGACTCGCGATGATGGCACCACCATCACAGCGACAGGCAAAAGAAGTAGTCGCGGCAAGGAAGTAGTCTGTCCGGACCTTTGTAAGCTGGTTTAGTGCGGATTGTTGTCTACTGTATGCCTGCCATGTCAAGTTTCCCGCTCATGTCCACAATGTGGCACACGTGCGCTCGACGACGGTTGGCGACTGGTGACCCTGCTCCCCTGTATCCCTGCGACTGCGAAGCCCCGAGCATTGTCCCGACTGTCGCAGGTCTGATGATCGGCGGCTACGTCTGGGGCGGCCTCGGTGACGCCATCGGCAGGAAGGCGACGCTGATCTCGGCGCTGCTCTTTAACGCCCTCTTCGTGCCCTGTCGTCCGTGATGCAGACGTACTGGCCATTCCTGGTCTGTCGCTTCCTCAGCGGTGTGGGGGTACGTGTGTCGAGGGAGGTGTGTGCCCGGCTGGGGTGCGTTGTACCCAGCGGGGGTGCGCGCTGGAAGGGGGAGGGGAGGAGGTGCCCAGCAATGGCGCGTAGTAA